TGTCTGTGTGTGTGTGTGTGTGTGTGTGTGTGTGTGCGTGTGTGTGTGCGTGTGCGTGTGCGTGTGTGTGTGTGTGTGAATCCATGAGTCAGAACATGGAGAAATGTAAAGCACACCTGGTTGAGAGCTGCAGGTTTATTCAGGGCTGTTTAACAGATGGACTCACTTTGACCTCAAATAAATCGACGTCATCGCAGTAATTCCCAGAGCAGCGCCTTTATTTACACTTTTTAATTCATTTTTATTCATATTTTCAGTCAGCTTTTATTTTCTCATTTTCAGTTTTGTATTTTAAATGTTTTTTTTTTGTAATTTTATATGCTTTTGTCTTGTTTATTAGATTTTGCTTTTAAAAAAATTTCTAACTAGTTTTCATTTATTTTTATTTCACTTTTAGGTTTAATTAATATTTTAAATCAGCTTTTTAAAATATTTTGATTTAAGTTTTTCCTACTTTCAGTTTTAATAGTTTCCATTTCATCAGTGGTTCCCAGAGCAGCAGGTTTATTTTTATTAACACTTTTTAATTAACATTTAATTTTAAATTTTTATTTAACATTCATAACAAGCTGCTTTAGATCAGTGTTTTTTGGTGTCAGTGATATACTATTATAGTTTTTGTTGGCATTTAGAATTTTTATTTCTATAAAATTATATTATATAATTTTATATAAAGATTTATTTTGTATTTTCGGTTTTCGCTTTAATATTAGTTAAAGGTTTGGTAATGTTGTTGTATGTTTGTCATATTTATAAATTTTTTATGTGTCTTTATTACACGGCTCTGTGGAATACTTGATTCTGATTGGTCAGTAGCGACATTCCGAGGTAAGCTATCCCTCGATATAACAATTAATTAACATTTTAATTTAGCATTCATAACAAGCTATTTTAGATCAGTGTTTTTTGGTATCATTGATATACTATTATAGTTTTAGAATTTTTAGAATTTTTTGGTATCATTGATATACTATTATAGTTTTAGAATTTTTATTTTCATTAAATTATATATTATAATATATTATCATTTTATATTATCATTTTATGTAAAGTTTTTTTTTTTAATCCGTTTTCACTTTAATTTTAGTGAAAATTGTGGTAATTTTATAGTGCGTTTATTGTTTTGTTTTTTATTATTAGCATAATTTTTTTTAAATGCGTCTGTATAGTTTTTATTATTTTTAGTTATAAGTTTTAGTTATTTTAGTACTTTAGTTCAACTAAATTAAAATGAGAAATGTTACTTTAAGTAGCTGATTTTTTTTATTAAATTAATTTTATTTTAAGTTACGAAATTGTTCTTTTTTTCTTTTTCTTTTTTAATGGTTTTATTTTAGAGTTCTAATAGCCCTGCTAGAAATGTGATGCTTCTTGTAAAATACGTGACTTGTTAACGGTAGAGTGATGTGTTCGTGATGTCAGAGGGGTCGGCATTCAGTCAAACTTGTTGCGATGGTTTTCATAGAGTTAGCTGAAAGGTTGCAGGTTCAAACTCCTCAAGGGTTCGTCCGTGACCTTTCACCCCTGTGTTCTTGGTAAAGATGATATACTCCGCTGGACTGAACCTTTGACTTAACCTGGTGCCGTTCAGTGGTGACGTTACGTGAACGACGTGTGTGTGAAGGTGCAACATCAAGAGGCAGGTGTGTCCTGAAAGGTGATGAACCTGTGGGGGTTTTTCCAGAAGTGGAAAAAAAGGTCCAACAATCGTGTCTGTCATAGTGATGAGACGTGTGTGTCAGTGGGAATCTTCAGCACTGACAATGATTCCTCACTCCTCAGCTCATTATAGAGACTTTAAGAGCTGCAGGGGGTCAGAAAAGGTAAAGAGTTATGAGAAACTACGATGCGTGTCAGATCCGTGAAATTCAGCAGCGGCAGCTCTTAAAGCAGCCAAAATAACCTGATAACCAGCTGCTGTGACGTCTGTTCATCAAAGAACAAAAGAGCTTTAAAATTCATCTACACTTAATCTAGAATTTAGTGTTTGATAACTTTATTCAATTTCTGTATATTTCCTACTTGCTAGAAGTTATTTTTTAAAGTCTAATAAATGTGAAAATTGATAGCTCTCAATTATAGCTACTGTAATGTTGAACGGCTATAGTCAATGGTTTAATATTAGGGGAAAAAACTATTTCATAGAGACATCAGTAGTATTGGTATCAGTGATACTCGCATTCAGACATAAAAAAAGATGCCACTAAAGAAATATTAAAAAATGTACTGTCTTTATGTTGTTTCTACATTAATTTGAAGATTGAATGTGAAATTATCACAATGTAAAAGTATATTTAAAAACTTTAATTTTAGGTGGGATTAATCAAATTTTTTTAATTTTAGAAAAAATGTGTGATTAATTAGTTGAATTTTTGTAATCAATTGACTGTGTATATATATACATGATTTTAAAATATTTCTAGATAGTTTTCATTTATTTAATTCAGTTTTAGTTTTTTAATAGTTTTTAGTTTTAATATTTTGAATCCACTTTTATTTTCATATTTTCAGTTTTCATTTGAATAATTTGTATTTTATTTTACATGTGTCATGTTTATTAGTTTTTGCTTTTTAAAATTCATTTATTTTTCCATTTCATTTCTTTTTTATTTATTTTTTTTGCAATTGCTTTAGCCATTTTAGTAGTTTTTTCTTTCATTTTCATTTTTTTTATTTTTCAATTGTAATTTAATTTCATTTCATTTATTTTTTCATTTAATTTTTTTTTCATTTAGTTTTAATTTTTGTATTTTTAATTGAAGTTAAAAAAAAATATATTTTGCTATGTGCTTTTTCCATTTTTATTAGTTTTTTTTTTCTTAAATATTTTATTTTTTATTTGAGTGTTTTTTTTTCATATTTTCAGTTTTCATTTTCATTTCGGTTTAATTTTTAGTAATTTTATGCTCTTTTGTCTTTTTTTCAGTTAGCTTTAAAAATATTTCACTTTTTTTTTCATTATTTTTAATTCAAAGCGTTAGTTACATGGCTGCCATTAATGTTGGCTTGCTATTTGCGAGTCAGTTTCAGGGGGAGGGACATTCTCATCCTAGAGCGCATTTGATTGGACAACATTCTGTGTAGTGCAGGATGATGTCATCAGTATTTTTTCTCAATTTTCAAGAGGAGAAAGACTGTATATTGTAGATTTGTGTTTGTGTACACTCTAAAAAATGCTGGGTTGTTTCAACCCAACTTT